GTAAGTTTTTGAACGAGTATTTTGTATTAGACCCGGGTCTTTTGGTCAGTGCACTACGGTACTTTTATCTTTAAAAAGAGTCTGCATAAGTTTGTAAATAAAAATTAACAAGTAATAATTGAAATAATAAAGAAAAAAAAATCGAAAAAACAAGTACAATATACTTTTTTTACCTTTTACTATACGGTAGATTGGGATATTACACATCAAATGATTTACTATCATGACTCCTATTCTAATAAAACAAATTCAATTCTGTAATTTGCAAATGATATACGTATGAACTGTATAGTTTTAAAACTATGTTGAGACATTTTTCAATTCATTTTATTAATATAGTTAAAAAACCAACCATTTTTTTATTTACGAATTTAAATAGTAAAATATTAACAGTTTAAAAGTTTAAGCTATAGAAAGCCGAAATATTCACATATTATTATTAAATGTCTTATAACTATATTATTCACATATCGTTTGCAAGTTACAGAATTGAATTTGCTTTACTAGAACGGGAGTTATAACGTTTTAAAGATAGGCAGCTGTTATTTGCATCCCCTTGTAAATCAAAATTTTCTTAATTTTGAACGAAGATACCTTGAAAATTGTCAATCAAAATTTGATAAGCTTTTTTTATTTGAATCATACAATTTTGTAGAATTTAAACAAAAAAAAATTCACTAAATTTGGCTTGGTGGTTGTTTGACAATTTTCAAGGCATCTTCGTTCAAAATTAAGAAAATTTTAAAATTTTGATTTACAAGGTGCAAATAACAGCTGCATATCTTTAAAACGATAGTTTTAAAACTACACTATTCACATATCATTTGCAAGTTACAGAATTGAATTTGCTTTACTAATAAAATGATCAACAAAAATTAAATCTTGATCAGATACTAATTAACCAATCAGATTCACAAACCTTTTAAATTGCAACATGCTCGCTAAGTCTGCCGAAAAATTATCTAGACATGATGTTTCGTCAGATTTATCAAATCGTCATTTGCTTATTCTTTATGGGAGCCAGACAGGCTGCGCCCAAGATGTTGCGGAAAGAATTTCTAGGCAAGCACGAAGACGTCATTTCAAAGTTAGAATTAGTTCAATGGACGATTATGAGAGGGTATATAATAACTATTTATTGTTAATTCGTTTAGTACAATCTTATGATATATTTTATTTGACACTTTAGGCAAATTTGATAAATGAGAGTTTGGTTATTTTCATTTGCTCAACAACAGGCCAAGGTGACGAGCCTAGTAATATGAGAGTATGTCCATGGTCACTTCTGTTAAACAAAATGTATTAATATTATTCAGCGAGTTAGATGTGTTGTATTCATTTTGTGCGCAGAAATTCTGGAAATATTTATTGAGGAAAAACCTTCCAAATGATATTTTAAATCAAATGAAATTTGCAGTTTTTGGTCTTGGAGATTCTTCATACGTAAGGTAAATTTGATAAGAATTTCATGAGAAAAATGATTTGCATCCATGCGATGGGTGTTTATACAGATAATGGATTACAATCATTTCTTATCATAAGATATAATTGGCCTGCGAAAAAGCTTTTTAAGCGTCTTTTGCAATTGGGTGCTCAGAGCATACTTCCACGCGGGGATGGAGATGATCAACATTATCTTGGGTCAGTTAACATAAAAATTAATAAATTTTGCATTATTTATTTACTTTTTTTTTATGTCATATGTGCGGATGACACTCATGCTGTTCTAATGTTTTTAGTATAGATGGCGCCCTTGATCCATGGTTAAAAAAATTATGGGAAATCATAATGGAAAATTATCCATTAGCGCCGAATCTAGAAGTTTTGTCTGATCATATTTTATTATATCCTTTAGTATTATTTAAAATGCTATTTAAAGTTACAAGTTTACATACACAATTTTGTTCTTAACTATCGTGATCTATTTTACGCCGGCGAGATTTCGCGTCGAATTTGTTGGTCAGAAATTTGAAGAAAACAAAGAAAAAATCAATATTCGTGAAATTTATGCACGATTGGTTAAGAACGAGCGTGTAACAGCGCATGATCATTTCCAAGACGTTCGTCATATAGAATTAGATATTGGTGATACTGAACTAAAGTGAGTTTTATTCGCGTATAAACATGTCAATAGATTGTTTTTCTTATTTGGGTCTATATTTAGATACGATCCTGGTGATGTTGCTGTCATCCGTCCAAAAAACTTGCCGGAAGATGTGGATGAATTTATCAAGTTGATGAATTGGTCAGATGTAGCAGATGATACTTTTATTCTTGTGCCAAATGATGAAGGTTCAATAAATTTTGATATTAGAATACGTTTTTAGCTCAAATTGAGATTTTTTTTCATATGTTAGATTATAAAATACCTTCTCATTGGGAGTCGCCATTGACGCTGAGAAAATTGTTTAAAGACTATTTGGATATCTTTAGTACACCTCGCCGATCATTTTTTGAATTTTTAAAATTTTTTGTTACAAACGAAGACCATATTGAAAAACTAAAAGAATTTTGTTCTGCAGAAGGCCAAGTATGATGTATTATTCAGATTATTGTGTGTACCTCTATCACGGCCAAATGTTTATTATTTGATTTGCATATTAAGGATGACCTGTATGCGTATAACCAGCGTGTTCGGCGTACGATTGCTGAAGTTCTTCAGGATTTTTCTTCAGCCGAAATTCCTTTAAAATATATAGTTGACATGTTTCCGGAAATACAGCCTCGACAATTTTCGATATCTTCTTCTTCGAAAGTTCATCAGGGACAAATTCATTTAACTGTGGCTATAGTAAAATATAAAACTAAATTGCAAAAAGCAAGAGAAGGGGTTTGTACTAAATGGCTATCGGGATTGATTCCAGGTCAGTTTTAATTGTGAAATGCTATGTTCTTGCACATTCAGAGATTAAAGTTTATACATAATTAGACGAATGTTTTATTCCAATCACAATATCACGAGGAACTATGACATTACCAACTTCAACCTCTACCCCAATAATTCTCATTGGACCAGGTATAGAAAAAGGATTTAAATATTCACCAGGATTATTGATAATTAACTACAATATCGTGAATTTAGGAACCGGAGTTTCAGTTATGCGCGCTTTCTTGGAGGAACGCATATTTGAAGGTGCTACAGGTATATGATTAAAATACATTTATCAGAAATTCTTTTAAGGTAATTGATGCAATGATATTTATTATGTACTTTTTTAGAGAACTATTTGTTTTTTGGATGTAGAAATAAGGATAAAGATTACTATTACGAAGATCAGTGGAAGCAATACATTGATGCGGGACAATTAAAAGTGTTTGCAGCTTTTTCCAGAGATCAGGTACTATTTAAAAATGTGCATGCACATTAAATTGATAATTGGCCAATGTTAATGTAAACATTTGTATCTTAAAGGACAAAAAAGTATATGTTCAAGACATTCTAAAAGAAAATGCACAATTGGTATGGGATATTGTGCATGAGAGAGAGGGATATATATATGTCTCCGGGTAATTATAAGCCATATAATTAAAATTATTTTAAATTGTCTTAGTGTTTAACGTCTAATACTTACATTAGGAGGTCTGATAAAATGCCCACAAGTGTTATGGATGCTTTCAAATATATTTTTGTATCTGAAGGTGGGATGAGTGAAGAGGATGCAGAGAAATATATAAAAATGCTAGAAATGACTAGAAAATACCAACAAGAAGTCTGGTGATTTCAATTATTACAAATATATACCAATTTTTTTTATTACTTGCCTAATAGTTGATATAAAATGTATTTTAATTTGGTCGACTATGAAATAGACCAGATACGAGGTGTTTAATTAGTTTTTTACTAGATAATTAAAACGGATAATAATAAAATATGGGTGCTACTATTTCCATCATGGTTTTTTGCTATTTTCACCATAAGTTACATAAAATTTTTTATTTTTAATAGTTTTATTTTACACCTCCATATTGTTATTAATCTATAACAAATGAAGTGTTTTTTTGATGTTATTTTAAAGAGTTTTTTTAGAATTTTATTTTTTTATTCTACATCCTCATATAAATTAATCTACAAAAAAAGAGAAATTTTTTGGTATTATATTAAAAATAGGGGGTTTTTAAATTTTTTTCTAATCTAAAGGATTTTTTATATTATATTTTTAAACAGATAATATATAAAAAGTTTTTAATTTTAACTATAATTATATTTTTAAAGATAAAAGTACCGTAGTGCACTGACCAAAAGACCCGGGTCTAATACAAAATACTCGTTCAAAAACTTACAAAAGACCCGGGTATATTATACGGCAGTGGGTCTGTGTCGCAAGAAAGTGAAATTTCATTTATATACATATTTCGCATTTATGATAAGCAATCTAAAAATTTTAAAAAAACCTATATTTAATTAATAGAGATCTCGTGTTTTGCACCGGGTATTTTGCAAGGGGGATATTGAAAAAGGGGATACTTTGGTCAGTGCGCTACGGTATATATATTCTTTTTTTTTTTAGGTGAGGCCATGCCTCTATTTTTATTAAAATTCAATTAAACTTCTTTACAAATTATAAAAAAAAATTACATTATTTGAATTTTATATCCAAGAAATACTAAGAATAGAGATTTAGATAGAGTTCATATTAGAGTTATTTGTGATCTAAATCTAAAATTTATTATTTTTATATAATTTTGATAGTAAATTTTGTTATATTTAATATTTAAAATATTTTATTAAGTTAATAGTGTTAAAAGTATTAAGTAAAATTGTAGAATAAGTTTAACAGTAGTAAAATCATTAAAATTGGTTAAATATTTAATAAAAAATATATATTTAAGGGTAGGGGTATGTAGATCATTTGTTATATGATTTTCGTGGTACAATAAGATTTATATAGAAAATAAAAATGTGCTACTAGTAAAACTTCTTATGGTTGTAATTGATTTTAGTCA